TCCATTGGCTGTGTCTTCACGTCGGCGCCAATGCCTCCCAATTGGCGCTCAAAAGTGGTCTGAAATTGAGTGAACCCTTTGTCCACAGTATTCACAATCGGCGCCAGTATTTGCCGATCGTTATCATCGGTGGCCACACTATAGGCTCTTCTCATTAGTTCAATGATTGCTACAAATATACAGTATATAAAAATTGAATGTGAATAATAATTATTTAACTAATTATCTAACTAATACCTAATTATTAGTAAGTAGTAAATAATAAGATAGTTCGTTATTAAACAATATTTCTATGATTCTACAGTATATCTAGATGACTTAAATCATCTTGATATAAATTTAATGTTTTAAATGAAGCAATTAATTTATTATGTCATAATCTGTGATATCCGGGGATATATACAAACCCGGAGCCATTTCTCTGGATCTCTTCCAGTGGTTTTGTGCGTATCGTATGTTTTCATCACTCATTTCTCCAGTCATTAGTATCTTCTGGACGTAATCCGTAGTAAACATCTTCGCCAACGAGTCCTTCAACGGATCCAACAGCCGATCACTTAATTCATTGCCCGAAGTGTGAGAACTCATACTAAAATTTTGGCAATTAATATACGCTATTAACGAAACTTTTATTATTATACATAAAAATAAGGTTAATTAAAAATTTTGTTTTTAAACAGATTGTAGCAATATAAGTTAAAATTAAATCATTTTCCATTTTTACTTAATCGTTTTTACTTAATGAATAAACATGATACTAATAGCACAATCTATGTTATAGTTAAGCAATTAATCGAATTAATTTGTTAACTTTTGTTTTAAATTAAACAAGTTATTTTTATAATTTATTAAGCATTTGACATTAAATATTGATAATACAATAAAATATTTAAGATAAATATATTTATTTATTAGCTTGAGTTAATTGTTGAATAATTCACAGTATTTTATTTAGTATGCATAAATATATCGCGAGCTAAATTCCCCCTGGAATATTCCATCGCGTTTTTCCTGTAGTTTTTAGTCATTTTAATGTTTAACTCAACGTTTTAATGTAATCTCTGTTTTATCGTAATTCAGGGATTGACTCTCACTCGGAGTCAATCCCTCTCTTATCACAATAACCTCCAAAAGCTCTATTTAAGAGGCAGACTGTGCGCTCTAACCGGCAGTTCTCCCCCAAACCTCGTTGTAATAACATTAAAGTATTTCTTAATAAAAGTAGTTTTTGCTAAAGGCATCGAAACCATGTGTGCTTTCGCTGCCACCCATCTCTTGGGCCGGTGAGACCGCCGGTCAGAGAGCGACTGCTTCTCTTGGATCACCTATTGTGATCAGAGAGACCTAACTCTTGGATCGCCTCGTCGGGATCAGGGAGTTCTCTTGGTTTGCAAATAGCAAACAGGGAGACAACCCGAGAACTCAACCAGTTAAGTAACCGTCGTTCGCAGTCAGCGCTCAAAACTGCCACCCAATCACACCACTCGCGGGAAACAACACTGAGCTACACCACCCATAAGAAAGCCCCCGCGATAAATATTTATTTTAAAAGTTACAAAACAGTTTAAGAATATAAGAGTAAATATGATTATATCCAATGTTTTTAAATATAAAATAAAATTTTTTTAAATTCAATTAAAAAATAATGTTTAAAATATTATTTTAATTAATTGGTATAATTTTAACTACGGTAAATATGTAATCTAATATATGCTAAAAGAATTTGAAGAATTTGTTAAAAGAATTTGTTAATCATAAGCCGGTAGTCCAACAGATTCAGGTCTAAACTCATTAAAACATTTGGCAATTGCCGTCACTTTACCCACAATTGCATCGAAAGTACTATCAATGGTATCATTGATGAGGACAGTAGTCATACCCGAAGCCACAGCACCGGTAATACCAGTCAACGAGTCCTCAAATACCACACAATTGTGCGGCGATTCCGGCGGCGATGCAAACCGTTTGGCGCACACNATACCAGTCAACGAGTCCTCAAATACCACACAATTGTGCGGCGATTCCGGCGGCGATGCAAACCGTTTGGCGCACACGTGATATATATCGGGCGCCGGTTTGTTATGCCTCACATCGGGATCGTCTTCACCGCAGACATAGTGTGTCATATATTTATTAATAAATGGCATTAAATGACCGCAACTCGAATAAAGTATTTTTGTGGACCCATTGGTTGCGATAGCCATCGGTATATTGTGTTGATATAAATGCCTTATAAATCGATCAATTCCTGGCGTCAGTACAACCGGTTTGGCGGAGAACTCCTTATAAAACATAGCCATAAACTCAGCCAACGGTACCTTCAAGTCAAGTGAATCCATGATTTCAGCCAAAAATGTGGGCACATTTTGCACTTCATTGATTTTGTCTACGGTTTAAATGAACATGAATCATGATTATTAATAATTTTATGCTATTACAAACTATACTCACTTTTATCATGGCAAATGTAACGTTTGCCATAATATTGAGCCGTGTTCTCCAGCGACTTTATGATAGTGTCAACCGAATCAATCAAGGTGCCACCCAAATCAAATATAACTTGAGTGCCAATGTTTGTGGTCATTTTTTAAATGTGTTTAATTGTTGAAATAGAATTATGCTTATTTTAATACATGTAAATATGGTGAATTATTAATTAATTCTATAATAAACAACTTATTTAAATCTTATTTGAATCACTCAATTTTAATATACTTATAACATTTAAATGATTTTATCAGCTATTTATCTGAAAATGTTTATAAATATTTATCTCAATACTCTACGCGATAATTAGTTATCAAGACTTACTAGAATAAGCATATTATATATTTACAATTTATACTTGTTATCTACAAAAAAATATGTCAGTTTTTTATTAATAGAATTAAGATAATTTTTTATAATTTTGTCAATACATCAATTTAAGTTTAAAATCTTACATCCATATGGTTTATAATACTCACATATCTAATTACACTTGTATTATACTATAACACAATTAATTTTAAATTTAGTGATTTAAATATCCACCAATTACTGTATATATTAAAAATATTTATAACTTATTGGTTTCATTAAAAGCGGTTACTATTAGGTAGCAATAATCTGTAATGATTGCAATAACACTTAATTAATAAAAATAAAATATATCTATAATAAAATTAATATTTAAATAATAATTATTATAACCACGTGTTTTGTATTAAGCTGTTTAATACTGAATAATATTGTTCTGTCTTATTTATTAAATTAAGTTTTGTAAATTAATCAAATATAATGTAATCATGAACAATTTAAAAATATATTTATTTTACAACTTGTAAATTAAATATAAAAATGTGTTATTAAATAAAAATATTTATATTGGATTTAAACAATTTAAACAACTCTCTCAATCTCTCTCTCTCTCTCTCTCTCTCT